CATTACTTCAACAAAAAAACAAAGACAAATACGAAATTCACAGTGTTGCAAATTTAAGTTTGAAGAATAAACTACTACTCTTTATGTTTATTATTGTTTTTGGTATATCTTCACAGTGTAGTTTTTGGTATATCTAACTTAGTATGTTTATTGTTTTTGTAGAACTTTTATTCGGCTCAATTGACCTTAAGAAATAAAGTCAGCCTGGCCAAAACAATTGCGTCGAAGCTTTCACCTGCACAAAGAAAAATGTTTGAGGATACATGCTTCGGGCCATGGCTGAAAGTACAACATCCCGGTGGAGATGCGATGTTGACACACCTGATTCTTCAAACCATGACTAGCGATCTACCAGAGACTATACAACGTCGTGATGAAGATATATGGTTTGATTTTCCACCGGCGTATACGTGTTTTGGGCGGGAGGAGTTTTGCTTAATCACCGGTCTACGCTTCGGACACGATGATGTAGGTAGGTACACTAGACATATTACCCGCCCATCATGGCTATCCCGGGTTTTTCTTGAGTTGGAGAGGCCGAATCTACACGTAGAAGACCTGACAAGATTGTTGAATAAGAAAGATGGTTTTACTCGGATGGATGACGTCGACGTTGTCCGAGTATGCCTTCTAATTCTTTTGCATGCCGGTTTTTTAGGCAGAGAGGCCAGACAACCTATTCCAAATGATCTAATCAAATTGGTAGAAGACCTAAATGCGTGGAACCTGTTTCCGTGGGGCTCGTATTTATGGAAAGCTACATGGAATAAGTTATCGTCTGCCTTGGATGATCGAAAAAGTTTGCATGGCGATGGTTCCAAATACACTTTAACAGGCTTTATTTGGGCCTTTAAGGTAAGAATTTTTATATAATGTTTCTAAAATTATAAGTAATTATTTAACAATTACTAATGTTTGTTATTATATTGTTTGTAGATTTGGATATTTGAGGCATTTCCCGCCATGAAGACATATGCAATAAAAACTTCAAATGATATTCCCAGGGCTATTTCCTGGAAGAGGAAACGGACCTTGCAATGGGAAGATTTACTACGGTATACGATAATAAATAATGTAAGTTAACATAAATACTACCATATGTTTATAAACAAGTTATTACTAGTACACGTTTAACTTTGTTTGCGCTTTTATATTGTTAGGAGGCCAACACTCCTCTACAGAGGCTGACACCCACGGAAGCTGAGCTTGCCACTGATTGGTGGCAAGCTAGTAAGCGTTTTTTTGATGGAACGGTTGATGAGCAGCCTCCACTTCGGGAGCCATCACCTCGCCCAGAGCTATCACCTCACCCAGAGCCATCATCTGATCGACCCGACTATACACTTCCACAACGACAACCATCACCTATTCTGTCACATCATCGAGCCTCTTCTCCACCATCACCGCAAGATAGGCGACCGGCAAAGATGTCACGACGTTTATCTCCCTGTTCTCCACCTCCACCTCAACGGGATGAGTTAGGGGAGTTACGTGATGAGGTCAATGTCTTGCGTGAGGAGGTCGGTACTTTACGCAAAGACGATGGTGCATGGCGTGTTGAGGTGTCTACATTACGCGGTGAGGTAGCCGCTCTACGTGAGATGGTAGCATCGTTGCAGAATGAGGTTCATACTCTACGCAACGAGGTAAGTTTAAGATTTTTCATACTCGTAATTCATTCGGTTGCTGCCAATACTGCTAAACTGTTTTTGTTAGTATTTGTTTTTGGTTTTGTTTTTGTCTTTTGGTTGAAGTAATGCAATCCATTCAAGTTTCAATTTGCAGAAGAAGAATAGTTTACTTTTGAAACATGAAAATGACTATCGCAACGCGGAAATGGCTATTGCAATGCGAAATGAAAATCGCAACGACAAAATCGCAATGCGAAATGAAAGTCGCAATGCGATTTGTGTTTCGCGTTGCGATTTTGTCGTTGCGATTTCATTTCGCATTGCGATTTTGTCGTTGCGATTTTCATTTCGCATTACGATTTTGTCGTTGCGATTTGCATTTCGCATTGCGATAGCCATTTCCGCGTTGCGATAGTCATTTTCGCGTTGCGATTTTAAGTTTCGTGTTGCGAAAGTAAACTATTCTTCTTCTGGAATGTTTATATATGTTGTCCTTTTAAATGTTTATATAAGTGCTTACTTATGGAATGTTATCTGAGCATTTTATGAACTATGATAGAATAATGACTTGGGTGAATACAATGTTAGTTTGAAACATATTTGTCTTTGTTTAATATCATGTCTGTTTATTTACTGATTTATGTATTAATTTTTTTTAGCGGCCTGATAAGGTGGATGCTTTACGTCGGGTTTTCCTTGCACGACGGAGTTCACGCATCAGACGGCGTGGACGTGCTATTACGTCTCTGTTCACCCCAATGGTGCGAAGGCTCCGCAAGAAGAAGCCCGACTCACCTGTCATCACTCAAGAGTCCCCTCCAATCGTTCAAGAGGCCCCTATCCTCCCTTAAGAGTCCCCCCGCACCGTTCAAGAGGCCACTGTCATCGTTGAAGAGGTCTCTCCCACCATTCTAGAGCCCGATTCACATGGGGTAATATATTGAAGTATTGAGAAACCCCCACCGGTTCCGGACATGATGGATGAGAGTTGGCTCTCGTATGAGTTACCGGCTAGTACCCTTCCGGTATCTGAAGTGGAGAGGAGACAACTACCGGAAACAATTGTGGATAATACCCTTTGGGCTAAGACCGCAGTTGATTTTTATCTACATGAGCGGAGCCAAGGGTGTTACACTGACATAAGCAAACTCAACGATAAAATGTTTTTGTTGCTTGATCGGTCTTGGTGGGGTGTGCTATTAGGGGTTGAAGACAGTGGCTATTTCGATGGGGAGGTAAGTCTTATATTTGACTTATATATGATTTTGATTAATTTTTTTAAAAATTAATGTAATTCACTAATATATGTCTTTTTTTTTGTAAAACAACATATCGATGCGTGGGTGTCACGTCTTCTAATAATAAGGAAGCTTAGGAAAAATAAAAAAAATTCGCGATATACAATAATGTCGGCGGCTTTTCACGCAGTTCACTTGAAGAATCAACGAAATGAATCATTTTCGTTGGGCAACGGACAAGCTAAATTTTATCATGCATGGTGGGAGGTCGATAAGGTTAGTGTTTATTTTTTAAATTTTTTAAAGGTGTTCATAAATAAGTGCGCAAATAAATGAATTATTACTTATGATTGCAGGTGTTTATCCCTGTTTTGGAACGTCGTCATTGGCTTCTCGTCCAACTTCAGCTCCCATCCCTGAAGATAATAGTATATGACAACATGATAAATTACATATCACTGTCTGATTTGAGAGATACTATCAAGGGATGGAGCTCTCATTTGGCTAAATTCTTGGATGGGATTAATTATTGGACTCATTCTGGACACAAGAAGTCAAAGAAGTTCAATGTCACAGTTGTCAGAGACGAAACCGTGCCACAACAATCGCCGGGAGGCAGAGGGGATTGTGGTCCTCTCGTATGCATGTGCTTGGCGTGTTTGACGACGGGAAGCACAGAGTTTCTACCTCCCACCGATAGAGATAGAGCTGTAGTAGGCTTGTGGTTTCGGCATTATATGGCTAGAGCGATATATTCTAGACGCTGCCTACCTGCATCCACGTTATGAAAGTATCCATTGTTAATTGGTAAGTCAAATGCAAGTTTTGTTAACATATATACTCCTTTTGGTTTGAAAATGTTTGGTTAAGTACCTATAATTCAATAATTTGTTGTTTATATGTTTTAGATGTGTAGGAAGTCTTGTTTGAGCAAATGTTTGGTTTTTGCAGGTTAATCCTTAAGTGAGCTGCGTGAAATGGATGTACGGGTGCAAAAGTTGATTCATTGATTCAATAATTGATGAGGAAATAAGAATTATTATTTTTTGATTGTTTAATTGATTTGTAAAAAATGATTTGTAAATGTTGATTTGTTTAATTGGTGTGTACATAATTCTTATTTGTGCTTGTTTAATTGATTGAAATATAATAGTTGATTTGTTGATTTTCAATCTGCATTATGTTGAAGGCAAAACAGACTATCGCAACACGAAACTGACTATCGCAACGAGAAAATTGCAATGCGAAATGAAAATCGCAATGCGAAATTAAAATCGCAATGCGAAATTAAAATCGCAACAAGAAAATCGCAATGCGATTTTCATTTCGCATTGCGATTTTCTAGTTGGGATAGCCATTTTCGCGTTGCGATTTTTCATTTCGAATTGCGATAGCCATTTTCGCGTTGCGATAATTGAGCTCAATTCGGCTCTAAAGCTTCAAAGCTAAGCTTGACTTAAAAGTTCGCGAGCTTAAAATTTTTAAGCTCGATTTGAACTCAAAATAAAAATTTAATCTCGACTTGAACTAAAAAAAACTTAAAACAATAACATTCTCAGACTTAACTAGATTAAAACTCGAACTTGAATCTTAAATACATAAAAACTTCATATTTATTTTTTTAATAACATATAAATATAAATATTAATAATAATTTAATTTTAAAAAATAAAAAATTATTTTTTCGAGTTGCTCGTAAACTTTTTGAGTCTGGTATCAAGTAGCTCGTTTCAGTTCATTAAGAACTCGAGTCTAATTCATTCAATTCAAGTATTAACCGAGTCGAATTCGAATAACTCATTACATGTTTTGTTTCATTTATAGCCCTAATTGAGAGTGCCAACTTTTAAAGAATCAACAATTTAATGACCCAAAATTATAAAATTTTAAAGAGTTGCAAAATTTAAATCATCAATATAAAAGAAATATTTAAATTTATAAAGAGATTTAAGATTTTTGGAGATACGACCACTTCAACACATCTGGGTGCATCCTTACATGTAATGATCATAAATCATTTACAGCATTCGATAACAATATCACTTGCAAACATTTCCTTGCAACAACTACATTATATCTCCAATCAGACTACAAACGGTAAGGTTTAAACAACAGTTTCAATACATTAGAAGAGAATGGCAAGCAGCCATGCCAACGAAGGAGAAAAAGAAATTGAATTGCCTTAATACTGTAGAGATTTGTGCAGGGGAACTGGATTTTCAGCTCTCATTTTCTCGATTTTAGATTTGAACTCACCGTGAATTGACGCAAGTGATCTATGTCGAGAAGCGAAAGCAACACTGAATTGTTTAATCTCCGCTTCCAGATCTTTCCTTCTTTGTACTTCCGAGTTCAAGTCCTTCAAAATGTTTTCTTTTTGATTAGTTACAACCATGAGCTTCTGAGATGATTCAGACAACGATTTCTGCAACGAGTCTCGTTCTTCTTTCAACAGCTGAAACTCTCTTTCCAAGCTACCATAGCTTTCTTTAGAAGCCTCCAGCATGTTTTTACTGGCATCTAACTCTTGTTTAAGTTCACATCTTTCAACCATTAATCTACCGTTTAATTGTGTTTCTTCTTCATGCTTTCTCTGTGAATGTCACTTAAAACAGTTACGGAAAAGAAATGCGCACAAAAGCATGAATCAACCGGTAATAAATGTCAATTCGCTACGGTGTAAAGCTTGGGTTAAAAAGTTCATCATGTACAAGTATCCAATGATACCAATTAGACCTGTCAATTGGCCGGTTCAGTCAACTTGGATTCGTTAGTTCGGATTTTGAAAATTTCTAGTCATTGCATTTCAGCTCAATTTGGTTCTTGGTTACTCCAGATTCATGTCATTTCGAGTCCGGATCATTTCAAATTTGAGTTGTTGACTTTTTAAAGATTGCATCAAAATTTCATATTCGGATCAGAATTGACAGGTCTTGTGTCAATAAGTAGAATTGACCAGAAACACTCATTAATGCGTTTAAAGATAACAATTATCAAGAAAAAAGTGGTACGTAAGCCACATACTGACCTCGAGTTTATTCTTCTCTTCGATGACAAGTTCTAGCTGTCTCTTGAGATTTTGGAGTTCTTCTTTGTAGTTATCATTTGAGCAATCCTGAAAATGCAGCCTTATTAGTAAACTAAAAATTAATGCAGTTGCTCTTATGACCAATGCGATTTATCATACAAAGGCTTCAACAAATATACAATAGAAAATAACATGTATAATCCTGATAGCAAGATGAAGAATGAATGACTTTGAATTATCAACTCACAGGAGCTATATCTTGTGGTGGAAACGATTGAACTTTTCTTGCGGAAGTCATCTGAAGTGAATCAAGGTCTGCAATGTAGCCTTTATTCATTTTGAACCAAGTGTCCTCATCAGCTACATTGCTAAAAGAATCTGGAAGAGGACTGAAATCTGGCAACTGTGAATTATTTGATCTCATGGCAATAAAGGCGTTGCCAGCAGCTTTAAAACAAGGAGTTTTAAAATCATCTCCTCTATCGTTACAGTCATCTTTTGGGCTTTCTTTCCTGGAATCCTGCCCTCACCAAAAGAAAATTCATTAAACTTCATTCTCATAGCGAGAAATGTAAAAAGAATTCGAATAAGGCATTATAAAATAACGCATCTCAAATATTTGGCCATCCAAGAAAAGAATGGACTCAAAAATAATAAATAATTCTTTAATAGGTCAACTTCAAATTTGATGCCATACTTCATCACTAGAGAACAAAGAAATCCATGAGACTAGCTAAATGATTATAATATAAAATGAAATTTGCAACCAGAATTCAGTTACTGCCTTATACCACATTTGTAAATTTGTCCATTAATTGTTAAAATATTTGCTCTAGTCTGTAGATAAACATATGGCAGAGGAAGGTCATGTGAAGCAGGAAATTGTTTAGTTCAAAGGTTTAAGATTTCTGATCACCTGAATTACTGAAAAACCGCAAACAAGAAAGCAAAAGCCAGAAGGAAAAAAATTACAATTCTAAAGATAAATGAAGTGTTTAAACGATGGAAAGATGCATTGATTTCCAAGTAATGAGCTTAGGGGATGCAAAAATAGAGGTGGTGATCTTGTAGTTTAGGAACCACAATCAGACTGAGGTTATACCTGACTAGAACTTCTATCACCATCTGAAACCAGACTACTTAGGTTTTCAATCTTCAGCTGCTGGTCTCTAATGTGCTGTTCTCGTTCTTTGTGTGATCTTCTTTCCTCTTCCAGTTCCATTTCAAGCTTCTCACGCTCTAGTTCATACTGCAAATTGGACATCAGCAGACAAATATATATATGATATATAAATATGTACGGGCTAATAATTGGTGACACAAGAAGATAATGCAAGTTTTATAAAAAATATGAACCTTAAGCATGTCGTTCCTTAGCTTTAATATCTCTTGTTCCAGCACTTCAGAACGAGACCCCTGAACAAAGTTAAACTATGTTAGATAGCTTTTGACTCTATTGTTAGTATATGAGACCTGAGCCTCACCTGAAGCTTCCTGCGCAACTCCTCTATCTCTAACTGTTGCCTTTTAAGTAAGGCTGCATCAGTCATAATCTACAAACAGGTGGACTATGATTAGTTGTGTCAAATTCATGCCAAACCAATAAAATAAATTGATGAGAAGAAAAGTGGATTATTTCTCCTGTTTGTCATATGATAATATAAAAAAAAAATTCACAGTTTAGATTATAAACTGAGTTGAGGATCCATATATTGGTCCAAGAAAAGAAAGACAGACAAACCTCATTAACTTGGGCGCAATTTGTGATGCGTTTAGCTCTGCTAGCAAACAGAAGAGTTCCCTTGGTTTCCTCAACGTGAACCTAAACATGTGATATCACAGTTAAACCAAATGATCTGTTGAATACACTATTTAATCTCCCCTTGGGAAAAATATAAGGAAAAGAAACGGCCACAGAACAGCCATAAACACACACTGAAAGGAATACTACCTCTTCTGGTGCTAAAGTGCATATAATTGAAGTTTTGGCATTCCCACCTAGAGCAGTTTGGAGTATGCGGGTTAATTTACTATCACGATACGGAATATGTGCCCTGTAATGGACAATAAGTCATACGGCTAGAACATAGTTATTCCATCCTACGAGAAGTTACGTCGCAGGTGATAAGCAGTACCTTTGTTTCGCACCATTACTAAGTTTGTTAATTACATTACCAAGAACCATTAAGCTCTTGTTAATATACTTTCCTTCCTTCAAACGTACTCCGTCAGCACCAGTTTTAGCAATCCTCTCAGAACCAGCCAAATCTACTAAATTCTACCAGAAACAAAAAATGAAAGCATATATTAACAGGACAAATTAGGCTCCGAAAATGAAAAAAGGATTATATAGTGTGATGAGATACAAACCAAAACCGAGACACGTATTGAATCACTGCTTGAATAATCACCGAAAGGGCGTGAATCAATTCCCTTGCTTTCTATTACCTGGCAATGGAAAAGAAATGTAACAAGTATTAAAAGTAAAATTCATTCAGCTAATAAATATTCATGTTCAGCAATATATTAAAAGAACATTACCATTCTGAATATTGTATGAGACCTGCTACTTCGTGCATTCATATTTGTCTCACCAAAATGCCTATTAACTGTTCGTACAAAATATTAGCAAAAGTTCTTCCATATAAAACTAAGGGGGGAAATAAACAATTTCAAGGACCTTCTCCTGACTCTATGAGCTTTATCACTTGTTCAGCATTGCTCACAATTTCTTCTCTAAGACCCGCGACAAAAATCCCACGCTGAGAAAACAGGAAAACCCAGTTATTTCATGGTTTATGGATAAAAACAATTGAAACTTTATCGAAGTTTAATCAATGCCCGACCTCCAGACTCTCATGAATCTGCAATTTATGATTCTGTACCGCGAAAAGGTCATTAATTTCTTCATTATAAATTTCCATGTAGGAAACTCGGATCAGAAACTCTCGATCAGAAATCTGGGAATGCAATCCAACACCAAGAAAATCAACTTCAAAGCTTCAATTTTGAAATACCTAATCTCAATTAAAAACACTAGTCGGTTTAACTCACCATCTGTATTTTCTGAAATATATCGTTAACTGATCGATGGATAATTCCTGGATTGTTCGGGGAACCATTCATAGTGAATGTCTTGCCACTGCTCGTTTGTCCGTACGCAAATGCAGTCCCTAAAACATTAGAAAGAAGGTAAACGTTTTACTAATCAGTCGAACTTTAAACATGTCATCAAAATTAGATCCGAAAAAAGAAGAAGATGAAAACGAACCGTTAAAGCCGTCGACAGCGGCATGAATAACATCCTTCGTAAGAAGCTCATAAACCTTTCCATTAGAGCAAGTTTCATCGAATACATAATCTACGAACAAACAAAAAGCATTGGAGTTAAAAAAAGGAAAGGGGAGGGGAAAGAGGGAAACTGAGATTTACCGAAAGCATAAGAAATGCCCGAAATAGGGGTGCCGTGAAGTTTGTGAAGAGAGATACGATTGTCTTCGACTCTCCAGAAAGTTCCAGAAGAAGTTTCATGGGAGATCGGAGGTCTTAGTCTCACTGCAACGCAGATCTTCTCGGCCATTGTCTTTTCTTTTTTGAACGTTGAGTTGCAGAGAGAAGAGGCGGGATATTTATGCTTTGTTGAAATAATTTGGGCTCATTAGGCAGCTTCTACTGGTGTTTTCATTGAAAAGATTTGGGCCAACATCGGCCCTTTAAATGACTCCTTAATTATATAATGTTATTTTGTTGAGTCCCTCAACTATTAAAGGTTATAAAATGATTACCTAACTATTCATATATTTCAAACTAATTATTTTCGATTAAAAAAATGATGATTGTTTGAGTTAGACGTTAACATGTTGACTGAGATACAATAGTCATTTGAGATTCTAACATCAGATTTTATCACATCTCAGTTAATAGGTTAACGTATAGCTTGGACTGTTGTTAATTTTTGAACAAAAAAAATGAATTCGAAACATATGAATATTCAATGATCATTTTATAATTTTTAATAGTCGAAAAACTCAACAAAATAAAACCTTATAATCGAGGGATAGTTTTATAATTTTAAATAGTCGAGAGATTTAAGAAAATATCAACCTATATTCGAAAGACAATTTGTGTATTTTATCGTATAATTTTACTACCCGTAGTCCACTACTAATAATGGTTAGATTAAAGCATAATGAATAAATTTTTTTTAGCATTGATGATTAAGTTTTTAAACTTTTTTGGCCTCGTGGCTCCCTTAAGAATATAAAATGATGTGACTTGTAATTAGATTTGACATGTCTTTTTTGTTGGATACGGTAGGTTGATTTCGATTTTCAACACCTAATGACTTTATATTTGCTCCGCCATTAATACAACTAAGAAACTTCATTATAAGATTTAACTTTAATATCTAATGTACTTATGGTCTTTAAATTTGCAAACTAACAATAATTCACAAGTTGGTTCCTAATTAGAATAAAATAAAAGTAAATACAAATAATTAAATTTGATTGACAGATAACAACATATAATTTGTAAACACATAAACTTATATAAATTTCAGTTCATTAAATATAAACCCCCTTTATAATAATAGTTTCCCCACTTTAAATCAACCTTGGCAGCCCATGCAAAAGAATATTGACCCAAAATCATTGGGGAATGGAAAGGATAGCCCAGCTCTTGTTCTTTTAACCTAATTTTAAGCAGCCATTTAACCAGAGTAGATGGAGCATACATATTCAAAAAAAAAAAAAAAACTCGTATCTACTAAAGCATTTTTCTTTCCATTTTCTTTTAGTTTTACAGAATATCATCCATAGATTTATCATTGATTTTTAATATTATGTACGATTTAAAAAATTTATTTTATTTTCAAAAAAATAAATTCATTGTGTTTTCATAGCGATTTAGAATAGTGATTATTTTTTCTATATCTATATATATTATCTCATATTGATTATATTTTTCATAGCCATCAACGCTCAAAGAAAATTACAGTGGGAAGAATAATTTTAATAGAATTCTATGATAGTTTTTAAGGTTTTTTTGATTTAAAATTTATTGTTTAAAAGAAATAATGCTAAAGTTTACCTTTTTTATTAAAAATATTTTCTCTTTATCCTTATAATTAGAAAGTCATGTTTTATAAAATTAAAATATATCATGGATTGCTACTGGACGACGAAATATATTTTGAAATTTATTAACATTTTAAAAAAAAAAAGATATTGTTAATAATCCTACAGGTACTGAAGTCATTAAAAGAACACCCAATAATTTGTTAGGTAATACACGGAGTATTTGAAATATAAGAAAGAAATACCATTCAAGTAATACACGAAGTGTTTGAAATACAAGAAAGAAATGCCATTCATGTAATATTTCCAAAGGAATTGCAAATGGATTTGTGAGTTCACCAATCATTGAAGGTTCTAAAACCCTAAGCCCACGACCAGAAGCTAATCAGTCGTAACCTAAACTTAATAGTCTATTTCGATCTAATCCAACCACTTAGCTCGATGAAACCTAACCTAAAACCCACGTGACTTAAAATAAAAGGATTTGTGTTTATGACATACTCTGATATAATTTGATTTGATCCAGTCCTACCCAATTTATTTCAGTCTAATTAAACTGAATCGACTCATATAATATAATGTTAACTTAAATCCACTCAATTTGATTTAATCTGACTTGTTGATCAACCTTGATCGAACCATTTGACTTGAAATGAGAATTGAGTCAAACCAGTTGACTTTTCGGATTGACCCGTTAACTTTTTTCCTTAACTTTTCATTTTGATCTTGACTTTGACATAACCTGACAATTGATTGTTGAATGCCGTCAACCGTTGATCGTTGTTAATTTTTTGTTTTTGTTGACTTTAACTGATAAATTGACTTTTTGTATTAACTTCTCTTGTTTGATCAATTTAGTCGAATATATTCCATATTTTATTGATGTTAATATGATTATTTATCTCTAATTTTGAGGTTTTCTTGTGCTCTTCTATCGAATCCAAGTCAACTATCGTAAAACAAAAATTTACGCTTTTGAATTTGTAGTTCCGTAAAACAAGTTTGTGTCTTTCCTCATTTTCGATGCAATTAATATGATTATATAAGATCAAATCAACTCAAAATCCGTCAAGTTCAAATAATTTGATCATCCCTATTTCTAAACGACTTGTATTTGTAACTGTCAATAATAGCAATTACAGTGCATGAGATTAAGCGGGAGTATCGCGAAGAGTTTTTCAATTATAAAGGATATTAATGCCTTTATAAATGAAAATTTGTTATTGGCAATAGTGAATGATGAACTATAGTTCACTTTGCCTCTGAAATAAAAAGGAGAGGCACCCATAATATTACATGGAAAGGTTAATATAAAAACTCTTAGCTACCTCTATTTGATATTTCTGATCTACCAAATTAAGCTCTCTGGAACATACACAAAAGTATCCGAGCACTCGAGAAAAAGGCAGTGTTAGAAGAATCTAAATCTAATATATATAACCAATCCTAAATATATATGCTTTTTTTTATTATTATATGTCATGGAAGCTCCTAACCCAATTCTCAGCCATAGGTTACAATTTGAAGTACAAAGACAAAAGACAATTATGATTTCATGTTCATGTTCCTCAAGTAGCTAGAAAGTTTTTGTGCTGTGGGTTGGGAACAGATAAGAAACAAAAAAAACATGTTATGTCCTAAATACATGTTATATTCCATTGTACAGTCTAGAGGCGATGAGATGAGGATAAGAGACGGATATAAAATTTTATAATAAAGGTAAATTTAAAAAATTTAAAAAAATAATAAAATAATAAAATTTTAAGATGTAACAAAAATATTAATAAAAAATATTAAATTATATAAAAATTAAATATTTTGAAAAACCGCCCCTCTCAATCTATTCCTGTGGAGGACCCATATTAAATTCCTCCTAAGTTTTACATGTCTATCTAACGTCAACTCAATTAGCACTATAATTCCTATCATCATCAATTTAAAATAAATAAAGTTGATGTGGGTTACAAACAAATTAATTATTTTTTTAAAATTTATTTTAAACTCATCAGTGAATGCACATTAGATTTCTCTAATTGTTGCTGTCTTCTAAAATTCTCTAGATTTAAGTATTTTTTTGGTTACAAGATTTAAGTATTCAAAACTTCAGTTAACTATCTTATTAACATAAGTCTAATTAAATTCATGACTTATCTTTGATAACTTAAATCATTAATTTTGATCATAAAATTTTCAAATCTCACAGTATTTCTATATAGGTGACTGATCTTTCAATTTGATTAGCACCTATCGATAATATGTTGTTTGTTTATATTTAGCTTAATGATAAATTTGAATCCACTTATTAATGTTATGTACCTTTATAGATATGTAAAGACAAAGTTGAGGTTGATGTGTGTTTGTCATGTTTTAAGGCACTGATCAGATATAATTAAAACAGACAAGTCAAAAAGTGAGTTAAGTTCTTTGTTCAAATATCACATTGTTTAGTGATTAAAAGTATTTTGTACACATTGAGTGATTAGAGATAATGTTTATACACATATGTTGTTGCTGTCATTCGGCTTGTGTTAGCACATGTCTTTGATACATAATACATATATTTTTTCTTTTGAAAAAAATTCATACAACTTTTTAATAGTTCTAACCCTTTTTTTATTTCTCATTTATGACCATTCTTTTACAAACTCTAACAACTGTATTTTTACTGCAGGTAGGGATGCTAATTAGGCGGGGCAGGTGTGGGGAGACTCCTCCCGTATCCATTTCCGTCAAGAATTTTCATCTTCATCCTCGTCCTATGACCTATTGCAGGTACAAAACCTAAAATCGTCTTATCCTGCAACCCGCAAGACTAAAATTATCCCCGTCTCACCACCCATGTGAATCTTGAGATTCATCTAATCTTCCGCCCCATGCTCCACTTCATATAATATGTTTATATGTATCAGTTAAATATGTATAATTTCTTTTAATAAAAAAATATGAAATATTTATCTTAAGGACTCCGACTACCTATGTCACATTATTCCAACTTCCACTATTTAAAGAAAAAATAACAAGTTCCAAGTGGGTGTAAAATAAAGTAAGTCCCCACAAACCCACTCGTGCATTTTCAAAAGACGAAACTAAACATTAGAAGTCTTTAACTTACGGGTCAGAAATGAAAATTATTTTTATAAATATTTTTTCATTTTCATAAATATTTAAAAATAATATTAGTAAAATAAAAATCCTTTAAATCAATTTTGATATATTGTTTAAAATTTTCAAAGTACAAGAATTTTGAGGAAACCCCCCAACAAAAACACTAAAGTACAAAAATGATTGGCAATTGAACGTTGGGATCAAAAGGATGGAATCGAACGGTGCAACAAGAAAATAAGAAGACTGAAAAGGAAGCGGAAACACGTAGCCGGTCCTGCCCAAAGTTTTGGAAGATATTCCTTTCCCCTCTCCATTACCCCACCGGCCATCGTCATAAAAACAAACAACTTCCTTAACCCAACCATGGTTAGCCTTTTAACTCTATATAACATCACCTTCACCTTAATTCCCTTTAGCTCTCCTTTCTCTTTGCTTTTGCTCACTCACTTGGCTTGCTTCAAACTCAAGTATTCTAAAAACAGCTCTGGGTTTATTTATTTATTCCCCTTTGAATAAGATCAAACGGTGGTAATAAGTTGAAAAATGAGCTGCAATGGTTGCCGCGTGCTCCGAAAGAGATGCAGCGAGACATGCGTGTTACGGTCGAGCTTGCGACGGATCGAATCCCCCGAAGCCCAAGGCAATGCCACCTTGTTTCTCGCCAAGTTTTTCGGCCGTACTGACCTCATTTCTCTTATATCCTCTGTCCCTCAACCTCAACGCCCTGGTACCCTTTCAACCTTTACTTCAACACCAAACTTTCTTTTCTAAAAAATATATATTTTTACGTGTAGTTAACAAGTTCTGTTTTGTGTTTTTATAGCTTTGTTTCAATCTTTATTGTTTGAGGCATGTGGTCGTACCGTGAACCCGGTGAACGGAGCGGTGGGGCTGTTATCATGTGGGAAGTGGCACATCTGTCAAGCGGCGGTGGAAACGGTTCTTCAGGGCGGAACGTTAAGACCGATTTTGGGGTCTTCTTGGGCGGCAAGTTGTGATGAGTCATCGGATCGTTTCTGCGTTAACTCGTGCAGCTATGAGTCGAAGCCGTTGGTGATGGGAAATCAATCGGATTCGACGTCCTCAGATCTTAGCTTGTCTTTGACGGCTAGACTGGGCGGAGAAAGACGTGGAAGGCGGCACGATGAGGGAAATAAGAGAGCGAAAACGGAGTTATTTTTTTCGGAGGAATCGGAGACAACCACTTTTGAAAGGGATAACAACGAAGAAACGCACGACAGAAAGATTTTGGATCTCTTCGTTTGAAGGAAAAATAGTTTTTTTTTACGAACCGCCATGTAGCGAATATTTTAGTAATGATAATCATTAAAAAAATTATACATATACAAATCTATCTATTTTAATCATAGAATTTTATTTAAAATTAAAATTTTAGCTTTGAAATTTAAAATATAAATAAAAAAATATTAATAAGTAAGTTACATAATAATAATATTAAATAATAATTAATATAAATTAAAAAATTATTAATTTTTTAATAATAATGTAATCGTCAAATAATTAGAGGAATCATAATTTCTTTATTTTTTATTTTATTTTTTATATTTTGAATTTGAAAAGCTATGTATATAGAATACGTAAAATACATGTCCATAATATATGATTAAGGAAAATATAACATCTCATAATTAGGCAAATTATACTTTTAGCAATTTGGCATTATTCTCAATGATCAAAGTATTGGTTTTTTTATAAATTTTTATTTTTAACAACAATTTCATCATATAGGTTATTGCCGATTTTCTATATAAGTGATCAAAATAATTAAAATAATATATATTTAAAATATGTAATTTACAAAATTAAATAATTTAACCTTCAATAGTTTGTTTTCAGGACGTAAAATTGCATGAGGATGAAAAAAAGGAGAACATGCAAAATCATTGAGAGAGGCCTGCCAGCTGACACGTATCAAGATTCTAATACCTTTTAGGGTAAGCTACACATTTAGTACATAAATTATTAATTTTGTTCCATTTTGGTACCTAAATTTTATTTTTTTCAAAATCATACCTAACGTTTGGTTTAGGTATCATTTTGGTATCCTACCGTTAGACCTTAACGAAATGTTGTCCGTGGCATTTTTATAGGTAAATTACACCATTCATCACTCAACTATCTTCTCACTCCTATTTTGGTTACTAAAGTTTAAAGATTTCAGTATAATTACTCAACTTTCAAATTGTTCCTATTTTAATCATTCTAATTTATTTTATTAATATTTTTTATGACATGAATTTATTATTATTATTTTATTAGTATATAATTAAAATAAAAAATATATTTAAAAGTATACCCAAAACCAAAAATTATACCACAAACTAAAGTGATTAAATTAGGAGTAATTTGAAAGTTAAGTGATTAAATTTAAAAATTAAAATTTAGTGACCAAAATACGAGTGCGAAGATAGTTGAGTGATAAATGATGTAATTTATCCATGAAAATATTATCTACAACAGTTCCATTAAGTTTTTAATGGCGGGTAAATTAAACTTTAGATATGATTTTGAAAGAAAAAAATAAAGTTTAAGTACCGAAATGGAATAAAAATAATAATTTAGGCACTAAACCTGTAGTTTACCCTATCTTTTTTTATGGATACAAGGCATTAGGTAGAAACATTGAGGAAAATAAAAAGAAAGGGTTTGATCTCAAAAGATTTTTTTAAATGATTAATGTTAACTAAGGAATGAAAGATAAGTTTCATGGTTAAGTGCGATTATAGTAATATTTCATATATAGCAAAATGGATTAATCAGCCATTTATCTAATATAAGCATTCATTAATTAAGCTAATAAATCTTTGGTTGCTGCCATCTGTAATTGCTATAATTTTTCTAATTAAGCTAGATGATAAAAAAAACTAGTATTTTCTTGATATAAATTAGTGGACATCCTTTATTGAAATATGAGTATTTTCTTGCAAATACTCTCATAATCATTGTGAATTTATTGAAATATTACTATTTATAAACTAGTACTTTATATATATCATTTGTTTTGTTACTCCTCGATTAACTTATTAACAATGAAGATATGCCATTCTAGATTATATTTTCTTTTACTTATTTAACTTTTAAAATGTTTAATTTTCATATATTTTTCTTCTTTCCCTTCACCTTCAAATTCATCTACTTCAACACAACTAAACCATTATTTTTAACTCATATCATAAATATCAAACCCGTTAAAATTATCATAAAAAATCAATCAAAAAAGAAGATGAAAAAATATATCTAAATGGAACACTCGTATTTCATCATCTTATTGAAGAAGTCTTCAGCATCTCCCATATTCGGGTAGTTCTGCGGTGCGGCGCCTAAAAAACGGCTAATATACGGCGTGACCGGTTAAACAAGTGACCGGTTAAAATTTAGACCGGTTATGTTATATTATTTAACCGGAAATATTATAAAGTACAATAACATACTAGGTAGCGCTTATATAATGTAATAGGTAGCGCTTATATTTACCTATTTTATAAGTAAACCGGTATATTTATACCGATAGCATTGCAAATTTACCTATTACATTATATTATATTGAAAGGGTCCATACTTTTTATAAAAATGATCGATATTTCTTTTAAAGTTATGTAATTTATGTTTCAATTTTTTTTAATAGTGTTTCATGTTTTCCACCTACAATATTAATTTAATAATTTCATTTGCACAAAAAATTATTTGATTGTTTTGATATTTTATAAAATATTATTTAGAATTTTTAATTTAATAATAATATATATCGTAACGTAAAAAATAAATCATTAGACGCCTATAATTACTAAATTAATATCTTAAAACTCACTCAAAAGATAACCTTAAATTAATGTTTTCCACAGTGAGCATTGCAAATTTACCTATTACATTATATTATATTGAAAGTGTCATACTTTTTATAAAAAGGATCGATACTTTTTTTAAAGTTATGTAATTTATGTTTCAATTTTTTTAATAGTGTTTCATGTTTTCCACCTACAATATTAATTTAATAATTTCATTGCACAAAAAATTATTTGATTGTTTTGATATTTTAAAATAATATTTAGAATTTTTAATTTAATAATAATATATATCGTAACGAAAAAAATAAATCATTAGACGCCTATAATTACTAAATTAATATCTTAAAACTCACTCAAAAGATAACCTTAAATTAATTTTTTCCACAGTGAAAAAAGTATGGACACTTTTATAAAAAGGATAGACACTTTACAATATAATCACTACCTATTACATTATATAAACGATACTTATTACATTATATAAGCGCTACCTATTACATCATATGTTTACCTATTATATTGAAAGTGTCCATACTTTTTATAAAAATTATCGATACTTTTTTTTAAAAGTTATGTAATTTATGTTTCAATTTTTTTAACAGTGTTTCATGTTTTCCACCTACAATATTAATTTAATAATTTCATTACACAAAAATTATTTGATTGTTTTGATATTTTATAAAATATTATTTAGAATTTTTAATTTAATAATAATATATCGTAACGTAAAAAATAAATCATTAGACGCCTATAATTACTAAATTAATATCTTAAAACTCACTCAAAGGATAACCTTAAGAACACTTGAAGAAGCAAGAGAACAACTATCCAAGCAATCAAAAACGAGAAAATCCCAACATGATAACAACTGAACATATCATATCAATGTTCAAACTCAAGTTGTAGATTTTGATTTCCTTTTGCTTGGCATCATATGAGATTTGGATTTTGATTTCCTTTTGCTTGGCACCATATGAGCTTTGGATTTTGATGAGCATCGGAAGTATTTCAGACTTATGATTTGGGTGGTACTCAACTTATGATTTTAGTTGCTATTTGTTACATTTCTTGTATACCACCCAGATCATACGCCCGAAACGTTTCTGACGCTTTAAAGTTGACCAAAAATAAATGGTCGGGATTTCCCTCGCGTTTATACGTTGGAAAAAAAACAATGGAAATTAGGAATAATCAATGATAACATGCATATTGGCTTGGGCTAATATTATAGTGGAGCCGAAATATATATTGAAATTCAAACTCAAATTGAAATTTAAATTCAAACTCCAATTACATATGAAATGAATTTGAAATGCAGTGTTAAATTGAACATGAAAATTGCATAATTGATTCATACTGTTCAAGTAACATGCTTTATGAACCATCAAGCTAAAAGACAATATTGATTGAGTTCAAAGCTGAGTTGTGAGTTGATGGAGTTGTCACACTTGTCACATGGTTGGAATAAAGTACTCACATGCGAGATAGATTGTTTTGTTATACATAACCCATCTCAACTGAATGAAATATACATACAATATAATCAACCAAAACATACTTACACAACAAATTTATATATAACAATGTTCAAATAATGTACCCACAAAAACGAAATTAATCCAATGAAAAAGAGTTATTTCTAACAAAGTCCGGAACATTATTTTTCCAAATAATGTACCCATAACAATGTTCAATTAATGTACCCACAACAATGTTAATTGATTTGTTGTTTAATTTTCAATTTGAATTATTTGATTTAATAATTTCATTTGCACAAAAAATTATTTGATTGTTTTGATATTTTATAAAATAATATTTTGAATTTTGAATTTAATAATATATATCGTAACGTAAAAAATAAATCATTAGACGCCTATAATTACTAAATTAATATCTTAAAACTCACTCAAAAGATAACCTTAAATTAATGTTTTCCACAGTGAAAAAGTATGGACACTTTTATAAAAAGGATAGACACTTTACAATATAACCACTACCTATTACATTATATAAACGATACCTATTACATTATATAAGGGCTACCTATTACATCATATGTTTACCTATTATATTGAAAGTGTCCATACTTTTTATAAAAAGGATCGATACTTTTTTTAAAAGTTATGTAATTTATGTTTCAATTTTTTTAACAGTGTTTCATGTTTTCCACCTACAATATTAATTAATAATTTCATTTACACAAAAAATTATTTGATTGTTTTGATATTTTATAAAATATTATTTAGAATTTAAATTTAACAACATTAACCAAAGATAATAATATGTAATATATATTTATGTTTTTAATTTAATAATATATACCGTAACGTAAAAAATAAATCATTAGACGCCTATAATTACTAAATTAATATCTTAAAACTCACTCAAAAGATGTATATACCTAATATGTAGTTAACAAACATACCTAAATATGTAGTTATTGTACATACCTAAATTTAATGATAATATACTTGT